TGTCCTGCGACCCCGATTATCTCTTATTGAGTTTTCATTCGCGTCAAAGAAAGAAAGCATACCTTACGACAAATTGCACCATTATGCATGGTTTGGTGTATTTATACTGTTTTTTTTGTAAGGTTTGGTATCTCGCTTTACCGGCTTCTGTCACAGCAGGACAGAAGAACGCACAGCACGACTTACTCGGGGTCGCATGTTGGTGAGTCGAGGAGGCCGTGGCACAATCCAACAGTCTCCACTTCGAAGCAATCCGTCTTCAGTTGTTTGTCTTGCCATAAGCACTATGCTCGCCAATTCTTTGCTTGCTTGTGAAGTCACCATGCGGGTTTTTGACCTCATTGTCTGCTCTCCTGTACCCATTTCTGGTTTCTGAACGCATAAAACTTTGTGCGCTCTTTGGTGTTCAGACAACATCGTTTGCCCGTTTGGCTGATCACTCGCTTAAAATGACCCTATCATACAAACGATTCCTAATAGAAGTGATTGTTGAGGAAAGTGCAATTTTTGCGTCAAACCTTCTTTTAATGTACCACTTTGGGAACCGAAAAGAGTGGTTCAATTACCAGTTCCAACATAAACACCAGTTTCACATCACCCTACGTGACAATATTGTGAAATAATCGACAGCGGGGGTTTTAAAAACAACCCATAAATACAATTATTAGCAAATAATCATAATGCACACTTGTTCTACATTAACAATAGTTTAACCTTTCCAACCCTCGATGCCAGATTTTCAGATGCGTGGTACGCAGATTACTTTTTGGGCCCGATTTCCAGACAATGTAGTGACATAGCCCAACACCGCTTCAGTCGCGTCACATGACGAATGCCACAATTTTCACTCTGCTCGTCTTTATTGGCCACTTAAACGTGTTGTGATCATGAGACGGATTTCGGTGTACTTTGATTTATCTGTTGCCACTTGTGCCGCCCAAGTTGCAATCTGTACGTGTTCCAAGTCGGACGACGACTGGCTCGTTTCGTCATTGTCTGAGCAGGCGTCTTTGCCGTCACTAGCCTCGGTTGCAAGGCCATGATTTCCTTTGATCTGAAATTGGTATCACTCGATGGATGGGCACCCCTGTGCCTCAGTCTCATTCTCTCTCTCTCTCTCTCTCTCACACACACACACACACACATGCCTAAATACACACACTTCGACGCACAACCTAGTCATGTCGCCAGGACGACATCGTGCAACTGTGTCGCTGGGCGTTGTGCTCATGCCGTCTTCCAGCATCCAGTCGTTGACAGGGCTGTTGGCATGCCTTCGCCAGTCTCGATGTAGTTCATGCCCCCCCTCCACGCCCCGTGGTTCTGTACCAGCATTCCGCAATCCCACCGCATGTGGCCGAGCCGTGTCAATTCGAATGTGCAGCCATTGTTGCTCCCGAGTGAACTCGAGTTTGTGTCCCTTCGAGATGGGTCATTGCTGCAGATCTGGATTTATCGAAAGTCTTAGTTCTGGTTGTGTTCTCATCCAGACCTTCGAAACTGTTTTCTCCTACAAGCCACTTCAGGCAGAGACCATTTGCGTGTAAGATTCATTCGGCAGGGATTCGGCCAAATTGTGCTGCGTTGATGTTTTGGGAGCGAACAATTGTTTGCGAATAACTGCAAATGCTGTCTGTAGGCCAATGTTGCGCAAAACTTTTGGGATTCTCTTCATTTCTGTCTCCTGATTTGCTTCTACCCTCAACCTCTCAGACACATTTAAGACCTCCACTCAACCCTTCCTAATTGGCATCCTCTCATTCTGGAGTGAAATGTTTAATTGCTTCTTGAGTGTGAATTATGCAAACATAAAATGGGCAATCGAAGGTATGAAGACCAAGATGGTGTGGCCTTTTGGTTGGTCGCAGTCTCCTTTCGTTGTATACAAGTTGTTTAACCTTGTTTTAGCAACATTGTCATGTTGGCAGAAAGACTTAGAGGAACGCATGTTCCTTTCCAAAGTTGAACCGTGGACGTGGTACATTCCAAAACGATTCACCGGCATCGTCAGTGAGGATCAGCTTCACTTGTCTCTTTGACGAGTTGTTGTGTGGTGCTAAGAATG